CTGTCCTCTTTTGCTCTCCCATGAGAAAGGTTTGACTGACAGACCGACCCACCAGGGGATATCTGCATATTTACAGTTAACAATAGTTACCCCACTGATGCCAACTCAGCAACTTCCTTGTTATAGTAAGCAACATTTCAGACAAAAAAAAAATTGGTATTGGCCAAAGTCGGAATCGGCAGATAAGGCTTTTTAAAAGATCAGTAATCGGCCAGAAAACTGCGATCGGTGCAGCCCTACTAGCAACCAACAGTAAACCTGTAGTCTGAGAGGGAAAGGTTCTGTTGGGAATATATGGGCCAACCAGATCTCTAGCTCAAACAATGGGATCGCAGGATCAGCTCTGTCCTTCTCTTCTTAGTGTGAAGTGATTGTAATAACAGCACAGCCTGATGAGGGGCCTCCCTCTGGTGCTACAAAGAGACTGAATCATCTGATCAGACACATGCCTGATTTTCTGAGGCCACTACATGCCGTTTGTGACAATGCAACACAAGAAACCTTCATAAAGACCTTATTGAGGTTCTAATGGCATCAAAAACAAGCAAAATTATGATCTAGAACTGAGTACTGCATAAGGTTAACTTCTGCAGTCTTTTCCAACTCATGGGTGTGTGTTGGTGTTTGCAGGTGACCACAGTTCCTTCGGCACAGTCGTTGCATCTGCTGGACTTCAGTTTCAGTGATTTCGACTTGTCAGACACTGAAACCACCCTGGCTACTATCCGCATGTTTATTGACCTCAAACTGATCCAGAACTTCCAGATGAAGTACACGGTAAGAACTTGCCTATATTCTGTATAGTTAATATATTTCCTTATCCTTCTCTTCATTTCCTATATACCTTGGATTTCTTTAATTTTATATATATATAAGTGCTGTCAATAGATTTACATTTTTAATCAAATTACTCTCACTCTGGCACTGTAATTAATCACAATTGCTATGCCTAACTTTGTAAGCTTGAAATATAAATATGCATGCAGTTGTGTGAGTCCCTCATTCTGGCTAATCCCAATCAATTAAAATGCAATAACTGTATTTATTTATGTATATGTTTTTTGAAGCAGAAAGCAGGTAATGCTCAATGCTCCAGTACTCAACAGCAACTAAGTGAAATTTACTCCACTACACATTCATACAAGTATTAGCACACTTGTTCAGGGGACAACTGATAGATAAGACATAGTTAATTTCCACTTCTTTATGTATAAAAGAAATGTATAAGAAAGTTGCCAAAAAATATTTGAGCGGCTTTTAGCAAAAGAAAATATTTTGGTAATTCAAACTAACCTAAAACTTGAAAAGTTTGGTCTGATTTAACTTCAGACAGACAGAAAAAATGTGTATATGTGTTTGTATGTGGTGTATGGGTGTCTGTTCTTAAAATCTTAACTTCACTTGTCTAAAAGTAACTCCTTGCAATGTCTTTCAATTCATTTTGTAAAAAAAGGTAAGCTGGCCTTGAATATGTTAATCACAGGTCTTAAATTTTGTGGCACTACTATTTCATCTTGTATTCTATGTAGTCTTTTGTTGTGGGACTTTTCTGTCAGGCAAATGTTTGAGTCACTTCTTCTATACTTTCTCTGTCTTGAAGCAGTCAGGTTTGTTTGAATGAACTAGGTTCTGATGTACTCTTGCTAGCTAGTTGTGTATTGTGTATACCGTTTATTGCTTCTATGTAAAATAGGTTCCCTATTTTATTAATGGCAAAAACTATTAACTTCTTGTAGTGCATGATGGTGAGTAAACACATTTTACTTAGTTTTAACAAATAGTGACACTTTTCTATAGTTACATTCATCTGTCTTTTACAGCTATATGCATTCCACTTTATAAGTTGACAAAAGAGCAGATAACAATAATACTGTCAAATGTTTTAACAATGAATACAATACAATAATAAAGATGAAGTAATGACAAAAGAAAGACAAAACTAAAATATGTAAAACAAATAATTAAATCCCCTCTGAGGTAAGATAGTCCACACATTCTTCACAATGGTATTTTTTATGGGTCCAAATGTGTACAGTGAGTGCAAAAGGGTGGAGATACATTTTGTTAATATCTGCGGAGGGTGACCTCACAAAAACAGCTTTGATTGTAGAAAATGAGAAGACAGTCAGTTTGACATTAACACGGAGAGCTGACACTCTGACCACCCCACAGCATCTCACCCAGGAAGCACACTGGGTGAGATTTACTGTACTAATAATAGTACATTATTAGTATTCCAGAAGATTCATTACTGCAGTCATTCATTCTAATCTATGATCATTTTATGATTACTATGGAGAAAATAAGCCAGAATTTGATTAGCTGAATAATGCTGTAGAGTTCTTGTGGTGCCTTGCTTGAATTATTTCTGCATACTGTTCCTGATGAGCACATAGAGCAGCAGGAAACACCAATTTATGGCAAGAGGGTTGAGTCTTCACTCAGACTGCACAAACAGTCTGAGTGAAGACTCAGACTGTTTGTCTGAGTCCTCCAAACAATAACAGTTTGGTTAGCACTGTTTGTCCTGCTTAGCACTGTGTAAAATCCTACTTGCTTTCAGTGACGCTTTACTTTATGTGGCCAGTGTGATTCCAAGCCCCAGTCTTAGACACAAGGGGGAGCGAGCAACTCAAAAATCCAAGGAACAAACATCAAATTGAAAGTCATTTGTTACAAAATCGCCTCAAAGGTAGGCTCAATAAAACAGCTCTTTTCTAGGTGTTTGCCATAGTCCAACAATTGTCTGTAAAAGTCACCGGGTGAAGGGCCACATTTGATATCTGGTGCCATTGATTGAGCCCCACTTGCTGTGCTGCTTGCGACCGTAGTGATCTGCCTGCAGCGTACTCCTCAGGCCCACACACAGCTGATTCTATGCCACTCTGGAACCGCTCCACTCCTCAGGTATGACATGCCCTCTCCAGGAAGATGCTCCCCGCTGCCCTGGTCATCAGTGCTGGCCGTCTGTCCACCTCCCATGACTCTGCACCTAACATGTGGGTTCTCGCTCCTTGTCCTGGAGTGCTTCCTTTTATCTGGCATCAATTAGTCTTTACAGACACCTGCATGATCAGTCAATTACTCCTTATTAGACGACCAGAGTGTCTTTGAAGCAAAACATTACTAAAATCAAATGCAAAAATAAAAATTTCCACTTTGTAACATTTACCGTGTATCAGGTGTGTTATGCTCTCATATTTTGTGCAAGAAAGAAAGCACAACAAAATGCAAAAACTAGCAACTCTCTAAGGTGATTCAAATAAATAAATAAATGATGATCATATTTTAGATGAATTAGCTGTGGTCAGGGCAACAACAGCTCTTGGGTAGAAACTGTTTATCAGTGCATCTGTTTTTGACTTTATTGCTCTGGAACGCCTCCTCCAGAGATAGAAGAGGGCAGCCAATCAGTCTCTGGGTGGTTTATGACCCTCTGGAGCTGCTTCCTCTCTGCCACCTTGCAGCTGGAGAACCACAGCAAGATGCCATGGCTCAACACCAACTCCACAGAGTAGCACAGGACACCACTGGACAACTTTATGATGGTGTTCTTCAGGGGGCTACAGTCATGGGTGTAGAGAAAATAGAGTAAGGGGCTTAGAACACATCCTTGTGGAGAGCTGGTGCTGGTGCTCAGTGCTGAGGACAGGTGGGTCGCACTCTCAGGAAGTTCATGATCCAGCAGCAGATGTTGTGGAGTGACTCACATCCCCAAGGTTCCTCACCAGTCTGCTCCAAATGATGGTGTTAAAAGATGAGCTGAAGTCCAGGAAGAGCAGCTTCACATAGCTCCTTTGCTGTTCCATGTTTGTCAATGTGGAGTGCAGAGCGGTAGCGATTGGGTCCTCTGTAGACCGTTGGTTCTGTATACAAACTGGTGGGGGTAGAGTGTGGTTTCTCAAAGCACTTCATGAGGATGGCCCTGCATCCAATGACTACTGGCCGGTAGTCATTGAGACTGCTAATGTTCTTGTTTGGCAGAGGGATGATGAAAGACTTTAAGCATTGTGGGTGGGATGGAGCACTGGGTGAGGAACTGATTAAAGATGCTGGTAAAAACCCCAGCAGCTGATCTGCACAGTCCCTCAGCACTCCCCCTGTCACAACGTCACGTCCAGCAGCTTTCTGGAGGTTCGCTGGCCTCAGATTTCTCCATACTTCCTGTACAGTGATAGTCTGGCAGTGGAGGGATGCTGCTCTGCTGGTGATTCAGCCTTGAAATGGGCAATGAATTTTGCCAAAGACACTGAACAACCTCAGATTATCACAAGCTTTCTGTAGCATTTGTTGTTTAAAATACTTTAAGATTTAAGAGCACAGAACATGACATAAGGTGCTCCCAAGGTGGTGATGATGGTCACCACCTTCATCATCATCATCATCATCATAATCACCATCTTATCATTAGCTTTGTTCCGATCCAACTGTCATGCTAATCTTGAATGAACACTTAAAGTGTTGCAAAATAAAAGATAAAAAAATAAAAGAAAATAAAAATTTGGTGCATTTCTACGAGTTTGGAGCAAATCAACCAGGCTAAACAATTTTGCCAGACGTTGACAGTCCTTTCATAGCTGTAGATAAAATGTAGTTTGCAATAGTTTGCATGGACCACATATTTCAGCAAAATGGAGAGTCTGCACCTCTGTGCTGCAGGTTTGGAGTTTTGTTCCCCGATAAGGCACAGACCCACCGGTGGATTGGAAAGTTTTCTATGTAGGAACTTTTTCTGCAGATGACAAAAAAGTTCCTTTTTCGACTGTTTCATCTTTCCTCTAGCGCTTTAAAGCCAAAAACCACCAAAAGCCAAAAACCAAGCAAGTGTAAAAATGTTTTTGTGAAATTGAGGAAGTTATTTCCATTGACCTTTTCTAGTCTAATATTCCAAAATATGCATGAAAAACATTTCCAGAAACAGCTAGTGTCTTGGCTCCTCTAATGCACATGTTAGCTTCAGCTCTCTATCTTCAAAAATGAACTAAGATCAAAGATTTCTACAACCAACATGCTCTGGATATAGACCACCCAGGCACTGACCTAGGACTCAAACTGTTATGGCAACAACTTACAAGAAAGCAAAAAACAAGATAAATATTGGCAATAATGTGCAGCCTCGACTGACACCCTTTTTCTGTTGTGAACATAAAATAAATCTAAAGCTCAACATTGCAATGAATTAAAATGCTGTTTTCTGAACTTTTAAACTAGTGTTCATGTGCAAATTGCATTACACAAAGCTTTGCAACATTAGAAATATGATTTTGATTTAATAAACTATGGATTAAAGTTTGTGTCATCTCCAGCAGGACCTCTGTTTTTTGTGGTTGTCAAACTTTTACCGCTTCTTTTATCCTCTACAGGCCTTGTGCCAGTGGGTTCTGAGTGTCAGGAAGAACTACAGGAAGAGCGTGGCCTATCACAACTGGAGACATGCACTGAACACAGCACAGTGCATGTTTGCTCTGCTAAAGTCAGGACGCTTACAGGTAGGTCCTGATTTTTCAATTATGCCAGAAGCTTCCATACACTCAGCAACACCCTCCTTTATGCAGGGCCATTTTCTATAAGGTTGTATAAAGCTGATCCATTCTGAACAATATTTAATAATGAGAACTGGGTTTACTTGTCTCTTACCTATCTAATAAGACACAAGTATTTAGCCCTGTATTTTACAGGGTTAAATATACAGCTAAAATTATTCACATCAAGATTTTGTTTTTATTTGACTGGCATATTTCCTGGGAGTAGAAGTTATATTAATGTTTTGAAGTGTTGATCTGTGGAGGGAGCTAAAAATTGAAGTGATGGTGAGGAGACCTTCTGGCCTCAACGACTTGTATAAATAACATTTGACATGCCATTTTTAATAAAAGAATAACTCAAAAACTTAATTATTAACTTAACTTAATTATTCCATAGATTAAATCTGTAAGATTAAAAATGACTACATTTCCATTGCTTTGTCAGTGTTTGAGAGAAGAGTACAAACTCCTTTGTAGAATAAAAATCATTTTATTAGTTGCTTCACTCCATTCACATTTTTAACTGAGTTAATTGCAGGGTCTATAATTAATCTAAATTAATCATATTTTAATAAAAAATCCCTATGTAGACAAGATAAACATTTTTGATTGAAAAACCTTTTTTGCTGCAAAGTGTTAAATAAATAGACATTTTAGCTCAACGCCAAAGATATTTATAGTTTTTAATCTGTTCTTGTTCACCATCAGATTGGTGCAAAGCGTTATTCTTGGCTTTCAGCTTTCCAGAGCTGATCATTGATGGAACTTTTTTAGAAAGGCCATCCTGTGGATACTGACATGAGCATTGAGGATGTATGTGCTGCTGCTACATGTTGAGATACTATGTAGGCTTGAATAGCTTTGCTGGTAGGCTAACTCCTTGTAGCACAACTAAAAACATAACCACAAATCTTGCCATGGTGTTCATAGCTTATATAGAGTAGTATGCAAAAGTCTTGAGTCATTCTTTGTTTATTTAGTTTTCACTTCAAGGAGTCAGACTGTCTTGTAACATTTGCTCTTCTAATAATTTACAGTATTTCTTTAGGTATTGACTGGTTTGTCACTCATTTTTCTGTAATGAACATAATCAGTGGCAGCAGTTCTAAGGAAGTAATTCCATTCCCTTTTGGACAGAATAACCTGAATGATATGGAGATCTTGGCCCTGATGATTGCAACTCTCTGCCATGACTTGGACCACAGGGGAGTCAACAACTCCTACATACAGAGGTACAGTAGGAAGTCAGAAAGGGTGAGATGGAGGCTATACATGTAATCAGTGGATTTACAGTGCAGGTGTCTGCTATGTCACCATTGTGCAGGAGTGATCACCCATTGGCCCAGCTGTACTGTCACTCCACCATGGAGCATCACCACTTTGACCAGTGCCTCATGATCCTCAATAGCCCTGTACGTATACAGACATAAACACACAAAATATTCAGTCCAACATATTATTTTTATAGCATGACTAAGGCATCAAACCTGAAATATTAAAATCTGCTCACATTTATATAATTGTACATAAATTACAATCACAGGAAAAGGCCATGACTTTCAAAGAGCAACTCTGTTTGTGGCACAGAGTAAGCTTGAGAATAGTTCTGGTTTAGATTGAGAAATGCCTAATTAATACCAAATTCATAATGTGACAGGTGAATGTGCAGCAATGGGATTTGTGTACTGGGACATTTTTTGTAAAGTGCCTTGAGATGAGCTGCATTGTGAATTGGCGACTACAAGTAAACTGTATTGAAACTGAATTAAATTGGGTGTGTTTGTGTGAGCATGTGTATCATAAGGTATGAGTGGTGTTCTTACTTGCTCACTGGTCTTATATGGATGAGGAAGTGGGGATTTCATATTTACTATTGACTGTGTCATAATGTGCATTTAGTCAAAAAAAATTGGAGTCAGCTAGATCTAAATCAAGGTTGATTGTAAACGGTAAAGATGAAAAATGTCTATCCCAAATACATTAACTAGCCAGGAGAAAACAAAGATAACACCAGATTGAGTTCCAACAATTCAAAAAATTCACCACATCATTTACATCCAAATAAACAACTGCTAACAGTGCTGAAGGGGTAAAATGAAATTCAAACTTTCAGCAAACGTCAATCTTTATCTTTTCTGCCAAGATGAGACATACCTTCTATGTAGGCATTAATCTTGTCATTTATTATTTATTGTAATAAATTTCTTATAAGAATTTTCATGTATTGTT